ACTTTATTATGTTTTTATTGTTATTTGCATTCCATCCCTTTTGATTCTGGAACCATTGGCTTTCTACTGACATTATAGATGCCACTTCTTATAGTGGAGACATGCTGGTAACTTCCTGCTCTTGTAAGTGCAATACCTTATAATAAAATGTTATTTTATATTTTCAAATGTTTACTTTGGTGAAATTTCATGCTTTCCCTTTATGGTTTTTTGTTTGTCTTGTCATTTAGTGTTTGGAAGGAACACTGTTTTCCATGAAGGGTTTAGGACTTTGTTTGTAGTGGTTTCTTTGTTTTTTGCACCCCAAGTTTAAACCTGATCTTCTAAACTTTTATGTGGTGCAGTACCATTACAATGTCTGCCAGCACCAGTGGTTGGCTTGTTAAGCGTTTTTACCTACGCTGTGTTGGGTATAATACACTTTGCCTATACTGACCCAAGGCTCAAGCTACAGATGACCGGATGTTCAGTCTGTTTAAAATTGGCTAACTTGGAGCATGTCAGCTATTGGGAATAATACGCTTTGTCTACATACAATGCTTAGTGAATATACCCCTAGACAAGAGCCATAGAACATCGTGTAACAAGTGTTAGTGTTATTTCCTGTGTGTTTGTACCATTGGCCTTGTTTCCTGTGTTTCTCCCTTTGATCATAATAGCTTAGTAATGTGTAATTTAGAACTGCGTAGTAAATATCTTTAATTAGTGCGTATGCACTTTAATTTTAAGTGCGTAGTTATAGTGAAACTTAGCTTTGAGCAAGGCCCGAACATAAAGATACACCTGCAAGCTTGCTATAGGTTAAGATGTTACCTTACATTTTGTTGTAAGCTAACTTTTGCTTGCTACAGGTGCTTTAAATGATTCAGTGCATCACCTCCTGAATGTGCTTTATGATTCTCTGTAGATTAATCTTTGAGGAAATACTCCCTATTATGACTAATATGTCTCACATTATTTGTGTTCTTTTAAATTGTGAAAAATCTACAAAATTATTGTACGGGGATGCTGAGATTTTATTCCTTGTGACCACAACTGTAGACTCCCTGTGTGTTGGGTTTGGTCAGGTATGTAGTCTGGATCAGAGTATCCTGGACAAAAGTTGATTCTACATTCTCTATGGCTCTAAAACACTCAGCTGGATCGTTTCATTCAAAGGTTTGCCATGCCTTTTAACATGGTTTAGCATAATAATATTGAGTCTCTGAGAGTTCTGAAAAATGCAGATGACACCATGTCTGTGTAATCTGGTCCAAATATTTGCTCAATTTCTATAAGATTTAGGATGAAATAGCATCATCTCAAAGAGTAACTTTATTGACAGGGTACATATCCTGCAATAGGTTAATGCAAGTTTCACACAAATATTTAAGATGAGAGAGCGCTATATAAAGGGATCCGTATTAAATAATAAGGTAATTAAGGAAATACATGTATACATAAGAAACCCTAAAATAAATCTGATACAAATTAAAATTGGTATACCTTACAATAATATGTTCTGAATAAAGCTGCTAAAAGTTTATTCTGTGTAGTTGGTGCCTGTGTTAATGTGTGTTTTGGATACCCATTCTGAAGTGTGCAGCTTAACTAGCGAGTAGATTGATTGGTATTTTACTTGTTGTTTTAAAACATATTTGAATCAGTTTGTCCCAGTCTAATGATACAGAAATAAATGCCAGCCTAATAACCTATTAAATAACTGTTGTATCTGAAATCCGCTTCGGAAGATATCGTGGTTGAAACTTAGGAACTTCGACTTTACTTCTATATATAGAGAAAGAAAGATTTGCGTCCACTAATCCACTGTGCCCTTTTAAATTAAATGCTGCACCGACTGGTCACAGAGCTCACAGCACCGAGGAAATCTGTGGAGGGTTCAGGTGTCCGACCTTAAGCAAGCGTCTGTATTCGCTGACTCAGCCTGAGTCGTTTACAGGGTTGAGACATTGTATTGGCGTTTGTGGGTCGACTTGTCAATATCCTCTTGTGGTTTCTACCCATAACGGAGAAATCTTAATGGTGAGCAAGGAGAAGACTCTCATATTGCGACTCATATCCCGAAACTGCCAACTCACTCCCCTCCTCACGACATACGCAACGTCATCACGCCCGCACCTCAACACGTGGATGATATATTAGCTTAAGTATACATCACCATTACAGGGACTTGGTTGTCTCCTTGCTGCACATGACTGGGGGAACTCAGGCAGTCAGATTTGGAGGGTGTGACGGCCGCTGGCACTCCGACCAAGTACCTCCTCCAATCGATGCTCCTAGCGCTTGCCGAGGACTCCGAGCACTCCAACCAACACCATCAGCACTGCGGACCCCACTTCCAGTGATGCAGCTGCGCCTGGATCTCGCCGTCTTTCACCCACCTTGGATCCACAACCAGGATCCAGCAAACAGTGGGTGAACCTCTCCTAAATCCAGAGAGCATAGCAGGAACAAATCAAGCTCTTTCAAGAGCTTACTCTGGGGAGTAAGTGATTATAGCAATCCTCAGAGTGTAGGTATCCCTTCCCCCAAGCATGAGCCAAGGCTTCAAGAACGGTGCAAGTAGGTCTGGTTCATTCAGGGCTACCTGCCCGGTATTTATGCAGGTGGACACTCCCCTAGGGGACCTGATGGAACTATGGGATACATATTGGATATTAGCCAATCACAGACAATACAAACAAAACACTCCCACAGTGACATCACAATCCCTCCTCTCTATCCTGGAGATAATTGGGAAGTAATCAAATTATCTCCCAGGACAGAGGCAAGACTCCATTAACCACATGGTTACAAAAAGACATAAAATTACACAATGTTACAATTACTACATAAAACATATACATGCAACATATCCCCAGATAGCTTAGATCTTATTATTATTGAATGGCGCTCAGAGCACACACATACAGTTCAATCGCCATGGAGCCAAAGTCTTTTCCATAGTCTTTTGTTACACGAATAGGCTCCATGGCATAGCTATCTGGGGTAGCACTACTACCATACTGAAAGTCCCGAACGCCCCGGCAGAAATACACAAATAAACCTTTCTGCAGGGTAAAATACAGCTATCAGCACATGGGCCATAGTCGGAAGGCAGGAGGCTAGCCAGTACTCCCCTCCAGGCACAAGTGGCGAAGGGCACTTCGTCACAGAGGAACCCTCTCTTCTGGGAACAGCAGAGACCAGCAACACGCGTCAGTATTACAGGTGGGTAGTTCTCCGAGGGAGTGCCAAGTTTTCTCTGTCTTTTATATCTTTTTAGCAGTGGGATGGCTAGTCTTTACTTTTCCACCAAGTTTCCTTATCAGTGCAGCCCAGCAAAGACCTTGCACAAGCAGCTGGATGGGACTGGCAGCTGGATGGGATCGGCAGCTGGATGGGATCGGCAGCTGGATGGGACTGGCAGCTGGATGGGATCAGCAGCTGGATGGGATCGGCAGCTGGATGGGACTGGCAGCTGGATGGGACTGGCAGCTGGCCACCAACAATGCCATGTCAGGTCTGTGCAGTTAATTATCTCGTATCTATAAGCTAGCTCTGTACTATTCTCGTGATGGTACGCATGAGTCATTCTGGTGCTGTGTTTTTTGGATTTTAGTGCTGTGTATTAATAGCTGTGTCATCTTGGCCTGCATCTAGTGATACTGCCTGTGTGTGCTTCTGTGCTTACGGCGCCATCTTAACGATTTCTAAGAGTTTATTTTGCTCAATAGTGATCAATCAATCATTCTTAACCCCTTCTGACCGGAGGACGTACAATTACGCCCTATTTTAGGCGGCTTTTGTTAACTTACCCGGTCGCCGGCGGTCCCACAATCACATGGCCGGGTAGGCTGCCTCCTGCATTGCCAGCAGGGGGGCTGCCTGTAATGACAGGTGGTCCCTCTGCTGGCTAAAAATAAAATGAAAATAAAATTTATTAGTGTAAAAAAAAATATATATACTTAGATCATATATATATATATTATATATATATGATCTAAGTATATATATATATATATACACATATACATACACACACGTACACCGTCTAGGTGTATTTTACTATTAATATATATATAATTATATATATATATATATTAATATCAAATTACACCTAGACTGATACTGATTAAATATATATATATAATTATTGTTATATATATTTATATATAATATAAAAAAATTTAATATGTAAATACGTTAAAAAATAAAATTAAAAAAATAATTAAAAAGAAATAATTAAAAAATATATAGATGTGTGTTATTTCGTTCCAACTGTATTGTGAAATTAATATATATATACAGGGAGTGCAGAATTATTAGGCAAATGAGTATTTTGACCACATCACCCTCTTTATGCATGTTGTCTTACTCCAAGCTGTATAGGCTCGAAAGCCTACTACCAATTAAGCATATTAGGTGATGTGCATCTCTGTAATGAGAAGGGTGTGGTCTAATGACATCAACACCCTATATCAGGTGTGCATAATTATTAGGCAACTTCCTTTCCTTTGGCAAAATGGGTCAAAGAAGGACTTGACAGGCTCAGAAAAGTCAAAAATAGTGAGATATCTTGCAGAGGGATGCAGCACTCTTAAAATTGCAAAGCTTCTGAAGCGTGATCATCGAACAATCAAGCGTTTTATTCAAAATAGTCAACAGGGTCGCAAGAAGCGTGTGGAAAAACCAAGGCGCAAAATAACTGCCCATGAACTGAGAAAAGTCAAGCGTGCAACTGCCACGATGCCACTTGCCACCAGTTTGGCCATATTTCAGAGCTGCAACATCACTGGAGTGCCCAAAGCACAAGGTGTGCAATACTCAGAGACATGGCCAAGGTAAGAAAGGCTGAAAGACGACCACCACTGAACAAGACACACAAGCTGAAACGTCAAGACTGGGCCAAGAAATATCTCAAGACTGATTTTTCTAAGGTTTATGGACTGATGAAATGAGAGTGAGTCTTGATGGGCCAGATGGATGGGCCCATGGCTGGATTGGTAAAGGGCAGAGAGCTCCAGTCCGACTCAGACGCCAGCAAAGTGGAGGTGGAGTACTGGTTTGGGCTGGTATCATCAAAGATGAGCTTGTGGGGCCTTTTCGGGTTGAGGATGGAGTCAAGCTCAACTCCCAGTCCTACTGCCAGTTCCTGGAAGACACCTTCTTCAAGCAGTGGTACAGGAAGAAGTCTGCATCCTTCAAGAAAAACATGATTTTCATGCAGGACAATGCTCCCTCACACGCGTCCAAGTACTCCACAGCGTGGCTGGCAAGAAAGGGTATAAAAGAAGAAAATCTAATGACATGGCCTCCTTGTTCACCTGGTCTGAACCCCATTGAGAACCTGTGGTTCATCATCAAATGTGAGATTTACAAGGAGGGAAAACAGTACACCTCTCTGAACAGTGTCTGGGAGGCTGTGGTTGCTGCTGCATGCAATGTTGATGGTGAACAGATCAAAACACGGACAGAATCCATGGATGGCAGGCTTTTGAGTGTCCTTGCAAAGAAAGGTGGCTATATTGGTCACTGATTTGTTTTTGTTTTGTTTTTGAATGTCAGAAATGTATATTTGTGAATGTTGAGATGTTATATTGGTTTCACTGGTAATAATAAATAATTGAAATGGGTATATATTTGTTTTTTGTTAAGTTGCCTAATAATTATGCACAGTAATAGTCACCTGCACACACAGATATCCCCCTAACATAGCTATAACTAAAAACAAACTAAAAACTACTTCCAAAAATATTCAGCTTTGATATTAATGAGTTTTGTGGGTTCATTGAGAACATGGTTGTTGTTCAATAATAAAATTAATCCTCAAAAATACAACTTGCCTAATAATTCTGCACTCCCTGTATATATATATCAAAATACACGTAGAACAAAATAATATATATATCTATATACATATAGATATGTATATATCACTATATATATAGCTATATATAAATAAAAATATTTAAAAAAAATTATATAGATATATACATATATATACACATACGTATATATATACATATATTAATTCTACATATATATTTATGTAATATTTTTACATAATTAGGTATCTTAATTAATTACAATTAGCGGGACCTGCCTGACAACCCATGCCGAAAGTAAAGGGAATTTAATTTACTAGCACTATATTTAACCCTATAACTTTCCAAGACACCATTAAAACCTGTACATGGGGGGTACTGTTCTACTCGGGAGACTTCGCTGAACACAAATATTAGTGTTTCAAAACAGTAAAATGTATTACAACGATGATATCGCCAGTAAAAGTGACGTTTTTTGCATTTTTCACGCAGAAACAGCACTTACATGGATGATATTATTGCTGCGATACTTTTTACTGTTTTGAAACACAAATATTTGTGTTCAGCGAAGTCTCCCGAGTACAACAGTACCCCTCATGTACAGGTTTTATGGTATTTTCAAAAGTTACAGCGTCAAATATAAGGCTTGCGTTTCATTTTTTTCACATTAAAATTTGCCAGATTGGTTAGGTTGCCTTTGAGACCCTATGGTAGCCCAAGATTGAAAATTACTCCTATGATGGCATACCATTTGCAATAGTAGACAACCCAAGGTATTGCAAACGGGGTATGTCCAGTCTTTTTTAGTAGCCACTTAGTCACAGACACTGGCCAAAATTGGTGTTTTTTGCATTTTTAACACACAAACAAATACTAACGCTAACTTTGGCCAGTGTTTGTGACCAAATGGCTACTAAAAAAGACTGGACATACCCCATTTGCAATACCTTGGGTTGTCTACTATTGCAAATGGTATGCCATTATGGGTGTAAATTTCTTTCCTGGGCTACTATAAAGCCCAAAGGCAACATAACCAATCTGGCAAATTTCAATTTCAAATGTAACATGCTATATTTGACTCTGTAACTTCCCAAAACGCCATAAAACCTGTACATAGGGGGTACTGTTTTACACGTGAGACTTTGCTGAATACAAATATGTGTATTTTATTGCAGTAAAAGCAAACAGTATTATGACACTGACCGTTAAAATGTCATGTAGAACTAAAAAAATAAAAATAAATCGTATTTTCTCCCATTTTTTTCATATTAAATTATGTTTCATAGCTAAATATTTGATATTAAATGAAAGCCCTGTTTCCCCTGAATAAAATGATATATAATAAGGGTGGGTGCATTTAATATGAAAGAGGTGAATTACGGTTAGACAGACATGTAGCGCAAATGCCAGGTTTTGTTTAAATTTTTTTGGTTCACAACGTGTACATTTGGCTCCGTCCTTAAGGGGTTAATTAATATGGAATATTATTATCACACAGGTAAACAAACACTCTGGCTACCAGTCTGTTCATACATTATAAACAGTGTGAAACTGATCAGTTTACAAAGAACCCTTAGATATACGTAAACCCCAATTAAATGGCTGTAAATACCTTTGTGTGTGTATATTGGATGTGTTAAACTTTGTAGTTAAGTACATTTGCATTGATAAAGAGCTACTGCTCGAAACTTTGTCCTTTCTATAAAATGTGTAGAGAGTAGACACTGGTGGAGATTTTCCTAGTGCTTATAAGAGATTGTTGTAGGCATTTGATTTGCCTCTACCTCATCCTATGCATAGTGATCACTACAGAGATACTCAGCCACAGTACAGGAGCTCTGCTACATATATCACTGGCTTTAATACCTTTTTATACAAGAATATACCCATTAAAATTAAAATTATATATTGTGTTTAGAAAAATGCATGTTTCTTGTATATCCTCTCCTGTATACCAATATCCAGCACTACCTACTGTCACCCATTACCCACAGCATCTGTCTTTTCCAGTAAAGAGAGAATAGAGTCAGAACAGCAGATTGTCAGCATCCTGTGGATTAAACATGTCTGTGCATAGGGGCTATCCAGGGATGTATGTTCCTGTTGCGCGGAGCCCCCTAAATTTTCCCCAATGTATGTGATGTGTCATACTGTATGTAATTGTTGTACTGTTGTTATCTCCCAGAGCAGGAGATGGCTATCTGTAAACCATCCCCCTCCAGCCTGAGACTGAGGGTCTTGTGCTGAATAGAATGGAGACCCCTCGCGGGGGTCTGTGTATAAATTGGCTCTACCAATAAAGCATTGTGTTGTACTCCCAGAGATGTGTCTCGTCCAGTTGCTGGGGGAATGGGTGCCTTTATACTGTAAGTGGTTCCAGAGTGGATGAGGGAAGGAATTAGCTGAGGTAACTGGTCAGGTTACCCAGGGTCCGCTACAAGTTTCTCTTCATACATCACACACTGTGTGCCGCATTCACAACGAATCACAGTCAAATATTACAACAATACCAAGACTATCTCCTGATAGATTTATTGAGCTTGTATACTTGGGAGCAATACGATGTTTTATTGAACCCTTTCCTCAGCTGCCATGACAAGATATGAAATCAAAGTCCCAAGTTCACAGAAATATGTTAGAGATACATAGTATAAAACATACTCTGTAAAATATAAAATATCAAGAGAAAATGAGCACTAAATAACTGGTGTATAGTTAATGTATGGTGGGTTACATGATGGATTAGGAGGTAGCTTTAGTGGTACTGAAAAATAAAACATATCTCGTAAAGGAAGTTAAATGTTTATTGCTTATAAAATACAAAATAGGTTATAAAACAAGTTAAATTAGCTTATACAAATACCTAGATTTAGTCCTCAGAGACATCACAAATCACAGAGCTACAGCTTCGGATGGCTCATTAAAGTGCCACTCCACACCCAACAACACTTAAGCTTGCTAGTAGAATAGTTTAATCCCAGTTTATAATGAGAAATAAGCACTTTTATAAATTTGCTGACTGTCAATCAAACAATCAAACTCCCCTGAGCTAATGGAAGTGGCGGGCATGATTTACCTAACCGTGCCTGCCTCCACACTCACCAGCTCCTACGCTCTAGAACTCAGAAAAGACGCACCCACCCATATCCGTGTGCACAAACAGGCATGAGTTGTAGGTGCGCTCGTGTGCAACAATTGGTTAGCTTGCTAAGGCTCAATTCACTAGAACTGTAGCCTTGGCAAGCTCTTTTAAGATATAGCCCCAATGAATACATGCATGGAAATGCATCATTAAAGGGTAGATCTACTAAACAGTGGTTCCTCCCCCCTCCCCTTTGTAGGAAGTGGAGTGCTCCTTTAACTTTTCTGAATATAATAGAATTAATAAAATATACATTTTAATTCAATAAAATAAAGCACATATTAGGTAAAAAAATATATATATTTAAAAAAAAAAATCTAAACAGTAAACAACGTGTGCTATATACAGGGTTATTAGCTTAAGTCAGAATTTTCAGGAATTCAATGGAATTTCACGATTTAGACCAAAAACTGACAAACTGGTTGCTTAGCTGACAAGGCAGATGTTCCAATTTGCATAATTTGAACTTAAATTTTAAATTCATTATGAATTTAGTTTGAATTCCCTTCAATACTATTAAAAGTGTCTTCAGTGCAGATGTCAGTGACTGAAAGGGTGGGCAAGCGTCATGTGATTTTATGACATCCAATAGGCCAGACAAACACCTTGAATTCTAGAAAAAGATGATTTTAAATAGAATAACTAGAATTCTGCCCACTCGGGTGTATAACGGGTGATTATAATTAATATGTTGTTTGTAATAGAAATAAGAATGACTACTTGTATCATCATTTTTACACATTGTTTCTATTTTCGGCATTAGACGCATAACATTTTTATTTTTGAGAATTTTATATAATTAAATACATGATAAAAATGCCTACATATGTCTAAATTCACAGAAGGAATATGGTGAAAAATCATATTCTATTCACATATTGCAAAAAAAGATTTAAAAGGATGTTTTTTTACAATCTGATATATTTAATATTTGGCAAAATACAGTGAGCATTCATACATTATAGTACATTAAAATGGAAATAACATTAGAAATGATTCACTTTTACAATTTACATCTGTTTTTCTTAAATTTGGGAAACTGATGTCAGATATTCAAGCCTATCTCGTATAGTTGATGACTGTGATTCTGGTCTGTTGTAGTCCAAATCGTCTGGGTTTATAATTATGTCTGGACGTTTTATCTGTACCTGTAAAAAAAACAAAAACAATTGTCTGCATTACAGAAGCAAATAGCTTTATGTAATTTATAAAAAATAAGAATATTTAATTCAGTTATAAATACGTGTTAGTTTAATAGCAAAATGTAAAGATGAATTAACCTTTGCCTGGATATTAGACTTTCTGTTTAGATATCTCAACAGTTAATGAGCTAAAATGAGTGAATTTGTTACTTTCATGGTTTTGATAAATGGATCATTCCACTGCTGAAATATAAAATTAAATAAAACATCATTGTTTAGTAGATATACCCCCATTAAAATATGCATTTATTTAATTATTCATTCCTCTTTTCTCATTGGTGATATATCTAAAAACAGCTTGCAAAAGCTGCAGATCTCTTGTCTGCAGCCTTTGCAAGCCTTCCTTTTCTTTCATTAAACTATACTTTGATCTTATTTAACAAACCATGAATCAGTAAAAACAAAACAAAAAAACCTGTATCTGTCAATAGTATTTGCATGCTAGTTCCTATTTTTTAACCCCTTAGTGACCAGACCGTTTTTAAATTTTCTTACCGTTTGGGACCAGGGCTC